GTGAAGGTCGATGTATCACTGGTGAAGGTCGATGTATCACTGATGAAGGTCGACGTATCACTGATATTGATAGATCGACCGAAACGTTCATTATAATATCGAAACAACTCAGAGGCAACTATTTTCAATGCAATGTTTAATCAATTAATGTTATAATGGTCAATGCAATTCGTAATGTATCAGCTATCAACAATACCTTTGCCATGCATGAAACAAGATCATTGGACCTAGGGATTATTAGCACTAACCTGCACACAGCGTAAATGATATTCACTAAAAAGAATGGCAACCAGCAGACCAAGAAGGCACCCATTACTACGGCTAGTGTTTTAGCTGCTTTTAATTCTTTTGGAAGACAAAATCGTTTGGGCTTTCCGTTAACTGTTAGAGTCATTTTACGAGCTTGTGTCCTGGATACCTGTTGAATAATAGCGATAGAGCCCAGTCATTAGCATTATTTACTGCACTTAAATGAAGATCTTCGATATGATGGTTTGTTCTTGCTTTAAATTGGGAGATAGTGAACAGTTTAGCTGTGACTCAATGCAAATTTCCTTTGTGCAATATAAACCTACTTTCAAACAGCAATTTTTTTTTGAATTATAATTACCTATTKCCTAGTAAAAAAGGAGGATCTATAGTCGTCGTCAAAATAGCTTGACCCTAACAGCATTTACGCAGATTTCCTCTTTTGGTGTGATCTCTATTTTTAACCCCCTTCCCTTGTTCCAATGCTGCATTACATAATGCACTTCAGGTCACTTGTTTGAAACCCACTCCAATACTGAATAAGGCAGGCGCGTAGCGTGGACGTTTTGGCTAGTACACACATGTCAAAGAACGCGACACATATTTTTGATCTGGGGGTCTAACGACCGCCAATTTTGAAATAATAACTCTTGGGAATGGGATTTCCAGCGTTTTGAGAGATATCGAGGGCATATAAAGGAAACAATTTTATGTGAATATATTTGTGAAAATTTTAAAGTTTCCTTGCCCACTAGTACGCACGTGCGTATATGCGTAAAGTACGCTAGRTGACTGTAGGGAGGGGATTTGGAARTTTTACAGGGGGCTTTTTAGAGCAAGTTATGAAAGTTGAAAAACAATAATGATACGAACAAKTTGGCAAGGTTATTGGGAGAGATTGTAGATGTTATCATGGTAAATGGATTAGGGTTGGGCCGTTGCATGCTGTTATCCTTCACAAGTTTTTAAGGATTCTTGTAATTGGAGGAATAAAACATTGCTCATTGTTTCTTCTTTCTTAAATCCTATTGTTTTCTTTTATTTGACAAATAGCTAGTAAACCAATCGGATAAGATCTTGCAAATTAACCGTGAAGGGTATCCTTTGCATGACGGTCAGGCTTACCTTGAATATCATAAGGTAAGCTGTACTCATGGTCAACGTAGGAAGGATAAAACACAGTATAAACGCTGATAACTGATAGGCAGGAGGTGGAAATCCCCACGTGACAAACTTAATCACAGCCATGATACACGCGACCAACCATATCATTGCTATAGCAACCCTTGTTTTTGACGACGTCACAATCTCATGGTACTTTAACGGTGTTGATATRCATATATATCGCTCGACACTTATAAAGCTTAAATGAAGTATAGAAGCTACTCCGCATAGAATATCCATGCAAGACCACGCCCTTCTTAACCATTGGGGAAACATCCATTCAGGCCCAGTAGATAGAAAGGCTGCCCATACAGGCATCGAGAATAAGGCAACCARTAGGTCAGTGAAGGCCAGTGATACGATAAAGTGGTTGGTTACACTACGAAGTTTACGGAACAGCGCGAAAGCCGATATGACGAGTAGGTTGCCGACGAGTGTTAGAAWGATAATAAGAATAAGGAATGATATTGAAATCAATTTCAGTGTTAGATTAAAGTCTTCGATGTTTGTTGGTTGCTCAGACGGTAGGCTGTCGTTGGCTTGTGTTGAATGATTCATTAGTTCCTGAAGTAAAAGCGAAAATAATTAAGAAAGCGTCGAGGACCAAACACTGTCTGTATGGRGGATTGCTTATTAATCATCGATTTCTATAAGAAATGGGCATATAATGTTAATGTTTAGTCCCGAAAATGATTCAAATTGCAAGTACGCGAATTCATCTTTGATATTGGCTTCGATAATTTCACCCTTCTGAATCTGGCAACGTTTTGTCAAATAAAACACAGACATGTGAATAGACTCCTAAAGGCTACAAATGTAATAACCGGCCGCAGAATGAAATGACYGACCACAATATGTAATAACAATTGGTCAAAGATGTAATTACCGACCATAAATGTACTAACAATTGACCAAGAATGTAATAACTGACCGCAAGTCTTAACCATAATGACCACAAAGAAAGCTAAGTGTAACTGTAATTATCGTACAGCCTCTAATATGATACTTACTATAAGACAAAATACAATATTGTAACAACCTACAATAATTATATTAGCAAGATTCTGCTATGTGAGTCAATGATACAGTGATTCGGTATTTGAATCTTATGGACTTCGTCCCAGAAAATGTCTGACCCAAATTAAAGATGAATGACAATTACAGTCTTATAATAGACCGCAGGTTACTAAAGGAAATTTAATCGATAGCCACACTTTGGGTCTCGGATATTGCATTAGCCATCTATACACTACCTTGGCTCAAGTGGCCATTATGGATATGTCATGAACACAAGATGCCGATTATCCATATTCCGATTTAAGTTTGAAGTATATAATGACTTATATAGAGCTATATTTATAGTTGCAGTTGATGTTTTGGAATTTTAATTTAAAGCTTTTATTTTGTCATTTCAACTGTAAAGAATGTTTGTGAGCTGTATAAATAAGTGATATAAAAGTAAGGGAAAAGCAGGTGGCCTAGATTAACTAGCGTATTAATGTGAAAAACCAGAAACAAGATTAGATTTCCCATAATGCACTATGATATATTTGAGTGGTCAGGATATTAACAAATGACTGTATTTGTGTGAGCACATTTTAACATCGCGTATTTAGCCTAAACAAATCACAAAGCAAATCTCTCAGGAAARTGGCAAAAATATATTTAATTTTTCCTTTCGCACACTGCACACCTATTAATAAAGCAWGCAAAATACTGTTAGGATTCGACACTATTTCTCACTTTAGCTGTTGGGTACATTGATAGATACTGAATATTTCTCACCTTGTTGTGCATACGACTTGTTAATCACCACAAACTTACTTTCTTACTGTCTACTAAGCAACAACAACATGCACAACTACAACCTTGTTTAAACATCATTTATCATCGCTAGTCATGCTAAACGTTATTATTTATAATCAAAATTTCTGAATCCATGAGTTAGTTTTAAAGACTTTCTTGCAAGAAGACTCGGTTAAAACACATTTTGGCTAAAAGCGCTTAAATYAACTGTCCARTAACTCAGATGAATGCTTTTTTAAATGCATTTTAACATACGTAGTACGCTTGTATACATGTGCTCCCAAGCTTACATCGTGTACATCAAACATACGACTTGTTACAGCAAGACAAAGATTGGTTTCTACTTTACGGACTAACTGTCGTTTCATGGACTTTACGGACTAACTGCCGTTTCATACGACGTTWATATGGTSATCATAGACAAGCTACCCCCTTACTCTGTAGTCAAGTACGTTGAGTACCACATAAATCGATGGCCTTTAAACAAGAAAACTAACCTCTATTTACAAAACAACTTAGAATAGCAGCATTTTTACCCTCCGCKGAGTCCTGTGAGATCGTTTGGATCTATCTTCATGTCCTGGAGTCTATAGCGTCAGCAAAAGTAAACTTTATCTTTAAGTTCCATAAATGTTTGCAATCTTAAGACATATCTCATTTATGGTGTCAATTAAAATTTCTGTCCTTTAACAAGCACTCTAATGAAGTCTTCGAGAGCTAGTCCATTTAGCCACACCCCTTTGTCAATATTTATGTTTCCACCATTAATGCTATAATGACTGACCCGTGACTCGGTTGCTAAAACACTGATCTGAAAGAATTGTGTCATTCGCATTTAAGCCTTGTTTGCCGAGCCATAGTTAGTACTAACGTACCCAAACAGACTATAGCAATAAAAGCTTTAAACGACACAGATAACAGAAAAAACTCAAACATTTGTTATAAATGACTGATTTGTAGATTATCTTCCTGTTTATCAAAGACAAAATTCATGTTATTTCAAGTTTCCTCTCTCTCTAGCTATTAAGCTGAGTGCCATTATAGCAGTAATCGTCATTATTATGGACAACAGTTGAACTACAAAATCAAAATAYAAAATCTACTAGTTATTAATATTTAAAGAAAGAAAGTCAAACTTCCATTGAATAAAGAGAGAAAAGCATCGTGAGTTGCTGTGAGCTGCTAGGAGGTGTATTTACTAAAACATGGCTGATAAATGTAAAGGCCATTACAGTTATGCATCAAGCGCCATGAGGTCCGCCTGACGATATTAAAAATCTTGATTTGAGATCTCAYCCTTCACGTAATTTCGCTATATAGACATAAACAACTTCACTGCTTTCACTAAATCCTTGAGATCAGACCGCTACTAAAAGGCTTAGGGTTATAACGATTTTTTTAATAAATACATGAGAGACGATAACAGCACGATAGCAGCCCCTGGCCTTAATGTATAACATCAAAGTTGTCATGGATGGACCAGCAAGCCATTGTGTTGTTTTAACACGACCATCAGCCAGTCTTTTTTAAAAAATTGTATTTTCCTTTCTTTATGAAATCTAATGTGAAAGATAACATGAAATAATTAAAACTATGATTCTCGAAAAATTACGCCTTAAGCCTATAGTTTCCTTAAATATAATCGTCTAAATTGTAACTCTCCAAATCAAAAATAGTTATTAAGCCAGTGATGGCCCTTGTAATGTAAGACTTGTAAAACTCGTAATGGATTAATAAACAGCCATGCCTTAGAAAGCTTGACTGAACTGACCGGGCTTGACTGGGAGGCTAACCAGCACGGAAAGTGAAGCTTTCGCTCTCGTTCGGAATCAGGAATGCTTGACGAGGCAAWAGTTTTGATAACCCTGGAATTCATAGGTAATACCTCATTTATGTGACTTAGTTCATACTTAAGCTAATATAACTTACTACAAGAACCTTTTGCTACGAACACTTAATAAAAGCTTTTATGATTGTTAGAGCAAAGAAAAATCATTGTTTACATTCAGTAATAAGTAAATGTGTAAATATGAGGACATCATTAGACAAAATGTCATATTTGGATCCGTCGGTATATAATGAACTGTCGAAAATAATTTTGTTGATCAATTTAACAGGTAAAAGGATTTGAAAACGTCTGTACGATATATATCGACTTGTCTCCAACCTATGTCAGCCTATAATTTTTGGCTCCCTATGAATCATTTGCCTGTCAGCGGTCTTTCGTCAGCTGCTTAATATGGAAAATGCACCAAGGATGTAAGATGCAAATCAGTTTTTAAGCTCGCTGTAGTTTTTTTAACACGCAATTCAAGTTATTCAATTTGCCGCGAGTCAATGAACACGTACAGTATATACTCATGCGACAGTTTTCGACAAAGAAAAATATAGGGAGGGGGAGGGGGGAGGGCTGCAATGACACCCCTATTCACCTCCCTTGGTTCCGCCCCTAGTGTTATACTATCGATAATAGTAGCTATAATTATTAAAAGTACACATTATTTATTACATCTAGTTGCTGATTAAAGTTAGAGATGAAGCAATGAGATAATTCGTGTTTCATGCATAACCCATACGTCACCGGGATAATACAAGCCAACAAGACGTTGTAAACGACCTACAATCCTAGACAAAATTGAATGGGACAGAACGCTATTACTGCGCTCTAGCAGATGCAGCCTCCCCCTACCCCCGGCCCACAGTCAATGTTGGTTAACAATGTTGTTGACGGGAATGTTTCGGTATGGAAGGAGGGTTTGTTTCGGCCCACATTGAAAATGGGGGGCCGCGGGGGAAAATTGCCTGTAAGTTTTAGTAGACATATAGACATACACTTTGTCCCTTGAATTTTGTCCATGATAGATAGAAATTGAGAAAATATATTCTTTGATACTATAGAAATCCAATTAATGCCAATGTGTAGAATACGTGGAACATAATGTTTGATATTCTAGGGTAACCTTCAAGCGCGTACTTAACAAAATCACCTTTAGTATGAGTAAAAAGAATAAAGCTTGGGCAATTTCTGGTATTCGAAATTACTTTACTAAAATAGACGATAGATGATGCATAAATTCGACCGGTACGTCTAGCCAGCAATAATAGCCACGATAGCTATGGTCTACAAAACGGACCACAACTGTTTAACCAGACATAATCCTTCAAAAACAAGTCAATTTTGTGATGTCAGATCTGTATTATTTTGAGCACAACTTACCTTCCAGGTCGTCTTGATTTCAAAAAAGGAAGTGTTTTAGATAAAGGTACGTTTTATGCCGATTGTTCCAAGCCTATTCCTCCTGCGGCTGACAACTTGTTTTGGCAAAGCAAACACCTGTGAGAAACATCTGGTTGGTTTTCACACAAAATAAACTGAGATGTTATTATTTTCAATTAGCTGTCTTCACGTCACCCGGCGGGAAACTACAGTACTAACGAAAAATTTCAATTAAAGACAAAAAGAAATCTAACACCACCAGCAGAGACGAGAGTCAAAACACGAATGAACGACTAAAAAACTCACACGAAATAAGGAATTTCAATATTATTCAAAACGTCGTGTTGAATGCTCGTAGATATTGATGTCTTYTACTATTTCATATTAAACCTCGGCTTCTTTTTTTTCAAGAAACTCACTCATCGTTTGTATTAGTTTTTTGTTATTTTGGCACTTTTGGCCGATAAAGGTAATGTGGAATGACTTGATTTATTTTTAGATCATTGCTTTGTTCTAAAACGAGCAGAGGAGTGGGCACTATATTTCAAATCGAATCATCACCGGTTTAATGTGCAAGATTAAGAATATCCATTAATMCATTCTAAAGACCGGAATATTTCAAGTATTTCATTTGCGAAAAAAGATGGAAAGTTGGAAATTTTAATGATAATTATCTTTTCCTCTTTCTTTTTATTCGTGCCGAAYTTAGCTSGCGATCACGYAGRGAAATAGCATGAAGYAGATTTTTACAGACCTACCACAACAATATATCTTACGATAACATTTAATGAGTTAGATTATTATCATTGTACATCTTTCTTGATGACATGGCTGAGTAGGACTAGAACTAGTCAACACAGGAACCCCGAGCTCGGTGTTCGATTAATGAAGCATGTGAATTAATAATAATGACATGGAAATATAATAAAATAACCTAAATTAATACAAAGAATAATGTCTGATAGCTGGGCTGGTTAGTCGTCCTTGGGGCCGTACTTGATGAGATGGACGAAGTCGTTGTAGAGGATGCCATTACTATCAACCGGGCAGTCGTCCATCATCATGTCCCATTCGTCATCAGTGAAGCTAAAAGGAAAATTCACAAACATTAACTATCTAAGCATATAAATAACTGATCTTCAATTTGGGTGTGGAAATATCCAAATGAAAACTTGGAATTGTTATTCAAGAAGAGCAACACAGGGAATCCAAAACCAAATTATGCGTACACCATCTTAAATTATGAGGAAATTATGGGATGCCCAGCGTGTAGACAGGAGTTGAACCTACAATGATAGATACACCGAAGAACCACGTGTATTTATCACTGACTCACTTTAAGGCTCGGCTACCTTTCAAAATGGCGTGAAGAACATGGAATCTAGAATGGTGGCCGTTAGGTTAAGGTATATACTGACCATCCATGGTAAAAGGAATTTAGTTTTCATTATCAATATACTCTGAGTCCCGGGCAATCAAGTTGAAATATTTGATACCGAATAGCAGTCAATCATTGCGTGACATAATATCTCCCAACACGTTTCTTATAGGGGGAGGGGAGGGGAGGAGTGGTCCTTCTTTGAATCTGACTTATTCTTGATGTAAATACCTGTGTAATCCATGAAGCATTGAATATATTTGAATTAAGGCACTAAATGAAAAGCTTTATATCTACAATATTCTATTGAATTACGAACAAAAGTCTTTTTTCGACAACAGAAATTAAGGGATTACAAGACGTCGATGACAAAGGAAAGATTATTAATCATTCAGGCGAAACTCATCAAAACACCACTCATGGATACTTTGCTTAAAATAAACTCGCTCTTAAGCTGTTTGGCATTGCAAAACAATATTGCATTAAACACTTAAACATTTAATTCAGAAAACATAAGGCAAATGTTTCTTTGATAATTTTCCCTTTTTTAATCATTTAGCGTAAACACTTCGTTTTTTAGAAAATAACTGTTCATTAAACAAATGTTTAAAAAAGGTATACTACGGCATACTAAAAGGATTTTGAACTATTAAAATTAAAGAAATTCATATTTGTAAGTGGTTTGAATCATTGAACCATTTTGTAGCATATTTCAAGAACATTTTCTATTCAGAAACTCGTAACATTCATTGCGGAGCCTAATCTTAGACCGATCTGGGTCAAAGGCTATCGGGCCGAAATAAACACTTGATATTCGTCGAAATAGCAATAATTAAATTGTACATACTGTTCTTCTGAAAATCAAGTTACAAACACAGATGCATCATATAATACTTTCGATTGGCTATTTTTTGCATGAATGGCTTTTGCTCTGTTGTGTTTTGTAAGTATATTTTGTCTTTCAGAAAACTAAACACTGAAATTTCAAAACTCATCGAGAAAAGTCATCGTTGCCTTATGAATAACATAATTTGATTATAACCACTTGAAATTCGGATCCCAATGTCGTCAACCAATTGAATTCTAGTGACATTTTGAAGTTTATTTTCTAACTCAGTGTAAAGTTTGTGACTAGTAAAGCATATAGCTGCTAATTGGGCGCGACGGGGGTAATTTGCTGTACAATTATAACACTTCGCTGTGGCCTTTTACTCGCTGCCAAAATAAGACTCTATTTTACACAATTAAGTAGATTAAAAAGACATGAACTTTGCTTAAACTTGTTATCAAAAAGAGCATTTTTACATTAATTATATAGTTTAACGTATCATACAGTTGATTGCCTTCGGTTTAGATACACAAGTGGAAACCTCTCGTAATAATAAATCTTACCGGTCTCCCAAGCCTTGCATTAGTCTTCTTAATTTTTCCTCATCGACGAAGCCTTTTCCGTCAATATCAAATGAGGCGAAAGCAGCTTTTATGACATCTTCGGGATCTGTACCACTGATTTTTTCACCAAAAAGCGTCAAGAACATTGTGAAGTTGATCGGACCACTAGCTTCGTTTAACATTTCTTCTAGGTAGTCATCTTTGACGAGTTTGCCCAGCGAGTCAAAAGTGGCTGCCAGGTCGTCTTTTGAGATGAATCCATCTCTGTTCTGGTCGATCATGTTGAAAGCTTCCTTGAATTCCTGAATCTGTGCTTGGTCAAACATAGCGAAAACGTTAGATGTCGCTCTTTGTGCCTTCTTCTTTGTGCCTCCCTTCTTCTTGTCTTTAGCTTTAGCCGACATTTTGGTTTATAGGTTTAAAGAAAAATAGACGCTTTCAGTGACCAACGACAGATCCAGACCCAGCTACTGCAAGCAAAGGAATACACCCAGATCTCCTTATATTATCTAGAGATTTGCGTTTAGTGACGTCATAGTTGATGCCCTTATTTGGTCAGTGTTCAATATAGGAAGATTGAAATGCCTACCGTAAGATACACTTCTACATCTGCTGTAGTTTTGCAAGCGTTTATTTTATTTATTGTTCTTGAAATCGCGGTGTTTCTATGAATAGTATTTCTAGTTTGCAAATATACAAAAGTATTGATTTTACAATTGGTATTAATTCCTACAAAGCCGGCAGCTCGGCCGMCTTAAGTAAGAATACTTATGTCATGAACAAAAACGCATCGTTATGTCATGGAACGAAAATATGTATACAGTAGAAACCCCCGTTACCCGGACACCTCGAATTAACGACCGACTTCGTATTGCGAATAGCATCATACATTTTAATTTAAAAACTCTTTTATAAAAACCTGACACAGCTGTTAAAGTTGTTATTCTAAGAACATAATATATATGTCCAGCRCAAATAGAGATCTGASTATGTCTTATGTATGACTCAAAATGATGGCTACTTGGAACAATGAACGCCTCCCTGCCTACAGAAGCCATATTAATGGTCCCTTTGTCATGTTATTATTATTCATCCTGGTCGATAAACTGCCCCGAGTCAGCCATCTGCCCAAGACTGCTTATTGGTTGATCCAAAAGCAATATAAACCGCTGTCCCAGCCAAAGACATGATCGCYGTCAACCAGAATACTAGTCTCCATTCCTCTAGAGTCTGCAGGAGGCAACGAGAGGCTGTCAGCTAATATAACTAGTGTGATTAGTATATGACAGTACTTCATATGGATATAAACCCTCTATTGATTGGAAGGAGTTGTGTTAATCTGTAGTCTACCTCGCCTACCAACTAATCAAGCAATTAACCAACCGATTAATCAATTACCCCACTAAACAAAAAAATAAAATAAAAAAACAACAGCAACAAAAAAAAAATAATCACGCAACTAAACAACCAACCAATTAACCACCTATATTCATTCACCTAAACAACCAACCAAGTAACCACCTATATTCATTCACCTAAACAACCAACCAATTAACTACCTATATTCATTCACCTAAACAACCAACCAA